TCCCTCTAGCATGTGAAGCCAGGGATGGAGGAGAATGTAAAGCAGACACATTCCATTCCCCAAACACTTGCAGCTGCTCTCTGTGTGCCAGGGCCTGATGGAATAAATGCATTGAGATCCTTTAATACATTTCAGCTACAGATTCTGCCTTGGGCATTGGCTCAGTGGCTGTGGTGTAATCTAGGGGTTTCTGCTGGTGGACTGTAAGTGGCTAATGCTTTCCAACAAGCATTGCTGTGCTGCTTGATGTTCCTAATGCTCCCTTACAAATGAGCTGGGGCGTGTGAGTCGTCCTGAGGCTGGAGAGAAGCCTCAGCGGTTCAAAGCAGTGACTGTTTTCCCAAAGGACCCAGGTTTAAATCCCAGTACCCACATGGCAGCTCACAACTGTCTGCAACTCCAAGACCAGACACCCTTACACAGATATGCATGCAGGTATAACATCAATGCACATAAAATAAAAACAAACTTAAAAAAAGAAAGGGGGGAAAAGGAAACTTCCTTGCTGGAAAATGGGATTTGTTTTTCCAAGGAGCTTCCTGGTCATTTGAGATACAGAAGTCGGGATGTTTACTTTGTTTTGATTGAAACAGGTCACCTGTAGCCCAAGCTGATCTTGTACTTACTCTGTAGCCCAGAATGACCTTGAACTTGTGATCCTCTTCTATCTTCCCAGTTAATGAAATTATAGGCATGTGCCACCATGCTTGATTTTATACCGTGAGAGGGTGGGATGTGGGGGAGGCTACATTCCCAGTGCTGTTAAATTAAAACGACACTTTAAATGTCGTATTTGACCCCTACTGCTACAGTCTGGAGATGGCCCTCATGAAGCTTTACGGGGTCTGCATGGATCTGCTTGCTGGTGCCTCTGTAAAGCTAACTAACCCGAGAACTGGACTAAGCCTGACCACGGGGCTGAGGGCTGGTGAGCGCGTATTCTGCTGTCATCTTACACACCAGCAGAGCCTTTCCCGTGCCGTGCCTCAGTCCTCAGGTTTGTCAGCCTTTGTAAGGTTTGCCTGAACCTTTAAAAATTGGAAATTCAGCTGAGTTGGGAAGTGTAAAAGTGAGGTAGAAACACTGAGCCTCTGGGCTGAGCCTTGTCCTGTCTCGGCCTTTATTGGAACAGCATGCAGGGGCTTCCAAGTGGTAGATCTTCAGAAAAGCAAGTGTCTGATTAAAACCCGAGTCCAGAGCTGCCTGGTTCAGCCGACTTTAGTGGACTTTACTCCACGGGGAAGCCAGTAGGCAGCATTTCTGCCAGGCGTGGGCCAAATGCAAATACCGAGAACGTGGGCTGTGCTGCTGCCCTCGCTTTTTCACAGAAAAAGAAAGCACTGACCCCTGCTCAGATCCTTGGGTGGAGAGAGATGATGCCTGCCCCCCCCCCCCCCCCCCCCCCGTCGTCGTGGCCTTCCTGCTGTCTGAGACAAGGGAGCTGTGAGGTGCTGCCTGTTCTTCCTCAGGCCACCTCCACACTGGGGTGGGTGACAGTCACTGGTGCCCCTTGTGCAGGAGCAAAACAGGGAGTACTGCCCCTTCTTTAGGGGTGCTTACAGCAAGGTCCTGGGCGCCATGGCGTGTCTGCCTGCTGTGGCGTCCGGGCATGGCCTCTCCCAGTGCCCAAGCTCAGAACGTGCGCCTCCTGTGAACCTCAGCTGCGGCTGAGAGCACCTGCACAAGAGGCTGTGCTAAAGGCTGTAGGGAGAGAGCAGAAGTGTGCTTCCTACCAAAAGCACCTTTACACCTCAGTCACATCATCTTCACAGCTGTAGCATGTGGCTGGCTAGAGCCATGTGTTCTGTGTCTGAATCAGATGTGTTAGACCTCTGCTGGGCTTCCATTGGCTGCTTCCACTTGCAGAATTTTATGTGTGAGTACATTGCTTACATGTCTGTGCACAGCACATGTGTGCCTGGGGCTGTGGAGGTGAGACGAGGGCGCTGGATGCCCTGGAACTGGGGCTGTGGACACTTAGGAGCTGTGTGCTTGCTGCTGGGGAACCTGCTTGCAGGCCCTCTTCTGGCAAAGGTGTATGTGCTTTTATAACCACTGAGCTTCACTCCAGCCCCATTTCCTCCACTGCTGTGTTCACGATGAGTCAGCTGATGGCCTCTGCTGTCTCTCCTCTTTGCAAGCATCTTTGTAGATGGAAATGTCTGTATATGCCCCAGGCTTCTGATTCCTCCCTTCCTCTCACGCTGTCCACAGTTGCAGGCCCGGGCAAACCCTGCCATGATATGGCCACTCATCTTCCTATTGCTGTCTCCTGAGTTGAAGGGGTCTTCTCAGGCCATGAGTGGGACTGCCCAGCCCAATGGGAGCTTCCAGGCACACTCCAGGTTGTGGGGCTGGTGATGGTTGAGCCTCCCTCTCTTCTGTGGAGTGAGCATCCTTTCAGTTATCTTCAGCCGTGCCAATCCCAGTACAGCACTTCCACAGTGGTGAGGGCGAACCAGCACATCGAAGTTGCTTTCAAAACTGCTGCTGAGCAAGGGGGCTGTGTAAGCAGAGTGGAGCGCCGCGTGTGACAGTAGGAAAAGAACTGTGACATCCTGGGAGTAACAGCAGTGCCGCTGCAGTTCTGTTGCTTGTGTTTCTCTGTCTTCCCGTGCTACTTTGCTGTGGCCTTTTCAAGAAAGGATCCAAGACTGTCTTGTCCTCCTTCTGTTTCTGAGACTCGCAGAGCTCGCAGGCCTCCTGCCTTGCCTTTTGGCCTATCATGAGTGTCGCAGAGAAGTGCTGAGGTTAGCCCAGCCAACAGCAGTGCTAACCTCGAGTCCTTTTGTCACTCAAGAACATCCCTGTCCAGTGAGTGCAGTTCGCGATCCCTGCACCAGCTTCTCGGAACAGGTCTGTGTTGCTAAGAAGTGAAGGTGGAGATTTGTTATTCCAGCTGCTCTGCCTCTGAGTCATCTCCACTTCTTTTTTCTAATAAGCTTTCCATTTTCTTTTGTTTTAAAAAATGAAATTCCACCCACTAGTCCCTCGCAGTCCGTGTTTACCCTGGAGCAGGATGTACCTAGACCAGCGTTCAGTTGCTGGCCAGTGCGTGATCATGACGTGTAATCTATCTGTCTAACAACCCAGCCTCGGTGTGGCCATGAGACGTGGCCAGGCGTCCCCAGGTCCCTCGCTGTGTATCACCTGCTGCCTTCCCTGTGCTGCCTGAAGTGCGGCTGCTGTTTAGTAAGTTTCCGCAGTGCAGACCTCAGAGCCAGGCTGTCTGGCTGCATCTGACAGGTGCGTGGGACGGGGGTCTGCAACAGGTCGAAGAATCCGAGTGAACAGGGGTCCCCCCCCCCCTTGCTGGAGGAGGGGGCGAGGGCCACACTGGAACTCTGCCCTCTGGATCTGCTCTGACCTGGCTCTAAGCTAAGCTGAGCAGTTCCGGCTGTTTTCCTGAGGCCCCTCCCTACGGAGAGGTCACCCCGATCCCCACCGTCCTGGAGGCGGCGGCGGCAGGGCCCCTGCCCTTCTCTATATGCTGTATGTGCAGAACATGCGCCAGGGCTAGTGCCGCCGCCTGGCATCGCGCCCCCCCCAGGGCTTTGCTCCTGGAAGATGATTTAGCGTGTTTGGTGGGGGTGATTTAGCGTGTTTGGTGGGGGTGTGCATGAGGCCGCATGGGTCTCTGCTGCGGAACCCTTCAGGAGACAGACAACTGGTATCCAATATCTGGGAGTAACGAACTTATCAGTAAGTGTAACACACGCTCATTAATCTTAACTTTGCTTTTCGACCAAGGGGAGCTCAGCTTCTCAGGAGACAAAAATTTCATCTCTGTTCTTTTCTTTAAACCCAGTCCCAATTTAGAGTCAAACATATTGCCCTGCTCTCCCTGGGAAGCAGTTAATAATGTGTTTCTCCAACAATGGATGGCCAGGTTGTGCCCCCACCCCCGAGCTATATGGATGCGCCCTCACACACAGCCTAAGCAAGCAGCTGCCAGGCAGGGGAATGGCATACGTCTGTTAAGACCCCGCCTCTTTTCCGCACACACATCTCCCTCCAGCATCATCTGGGTGAAGTTAAATGTGAAACCTGGGGCCGCTGAGCTAATCCGCCACCCCCAGGGCCTTGTCCTCTCCAGCTGTTGGTCTCCGGCTTCTGTTATTGTATAGTTGCAGAGGAATGGAGACCTGCCTAGTTCCTGACTCAGCTTAAAGGAAAGCTGTCTGGGAGGAATGCCCCTGTGAGTTGCTGCAGGTGTGAGGGCAGGCCACGAACGCATTTGGGCCCATCAAGGCCTGATGTCTGTCTGGGTCCGCAGGGCTGGACAGTGAGGATGGAGGCAGCACTTGGTCCAGCAGATGGTTCTCTTCAGAGTCTCCTCCCCATCCTGAAGGAGGGGACTGCACATACCTCTCAGCCTTTCTAGGGGTTCCCTGGGGGAGCTGGGAGGGCAGATGACCCCCCTTAGAAAGGTCTTTGTTTTGCAGGCTGAGGTCTTGACCACTAAGGCCCAGAGCATCCTTGTCTGCCTGCGCCACCCCCCCCCCCCCCCCCCCCCCCCCGGCCTGTCCTCTGTCCTGGGCTTCCTCTTATGTGCCAGAGCAGTGTCTCCCTTGGACCTACAGCTGCCTCCTCTCTGTCCTCTCGGGGAGGTGGAGCGTTGTCAGAGAGATGAGGTCACAGCCTCTGCAGTTCTTCCTCTCCTGTGATCATCTTGTCCAGGGCTGGAGGCCCTGTTTTCTGTTAGCAGCCCCATTTGCTTGTGGCGCTGACTTGATCTCTGCTGCAGCTTGCCAGGGCTTCTGAGCTGGCATGGGTGCAAGCTTCTCTGCTGAGCCTGGAGTCCCTCTTCATCTGCTGCATCGGGGCAAGGCCAGAGCCCACACATAGCCCAGCGCAAGGGCTGCAGATCTCACTGTACCAGGGAGCTGGTGCTCAGCAGCGTGCAGCCTTGCACTGATCCCGTGTGCCCTGCCATGTACCCCTTTCTTGGCGATGCCAGTGAGCCCCCCTAATGATCTGCCTCCTCTGCTCCCCTGCAGGCTACGTGTTCTGTATGTTACACCGCCTTCCCGAGCAGCATGACTGTACATTCGACCACATGGGCCGCGGCCGCGAGGAAGCCATCATGAAAATGGTGAAACTGGACCGGAAAGTGGGGCGCTCCTGCCAGCGCATCGGGGAGGGGTGCTCCTGAAGGCCAGGCACAGCCACCACACGACGCTGTTCTTAGTTCACTAATGTTAGCCTTATTTAGGACAAAGTCAGCCAGACACCTTGTACTGGGCACGCGTCAGACTACAGCCAGCCGTTTCCTTTCTTTAGCCAGCCATCCTGGTACTGTAGTTTAGGGGTTGATGGTGGATGAAATTGATTTCTGGCTGGTTACTAAGGTGCCTGCTAGCCATTGTATAAAATTAAAACATGAAGAATATTTTTTTTGAGCATGGCTAGTGGATTTAAAACAGCATATACTGTCACTGCTGGAGTCAAACTTACAAAAAGCCTTAAGTGGAAAGTGTCCAGACCAGACTGAGTCAGCAGAGGAGGCGCAGGCCTCCCAGCCCACGCGGGCGGCTTTGACAGAAACTCTTCCATGTTCGGCCTTTCACCTCTTCACTTTTGCTTGGTCCCAGCAGGACCTGATGGCCACGTGTGCCTTGGCCACAGGAAGCTGCTGAGACTGGCCACATGGCTGGGCTAGGCGGTGGCCTCACTCTCCCTCAATGCTGGAAGTGGGGGCTTGGGACAGATTCTTATGGAGGAAACTCATCACACAAGAAGAGACAACTTCACTTTGAAAATTAGATCCACTCAAGATTAGTCCACGCACGATCCCCACCTTTCTGCACAGGATCCGTGGTTGTGGCCCACTGGCTGCAGCTTGCTAAGGGCAAGGGTGTTGCTCACGGCAGCTCTGTGGCTGAGGCTTGTGCCTAGGCCTTGGCAACCAGATCTCTGTTTCTGGAGTTTAAAAAGGTGTTTGGTGGCCACGAGAATCGGTGGGTGCACTGGGGAAGCTGCTGTCTCTACCCTTCCTGGCAGGAGCCTCCACATGCTTCTCTGCAGCCATAGTCTGAAGACAGCCAGGCCACCCACCTCAGGGTAGGTTCAGGAGGGGAGACGGCAGGCTGCACAAGACCCTGGTGCAGCTGTCTCTAGAGTGTTGAGTGCTGGTGGCTGTGGTGGGAGGCAGCTCTCAGCGTGAGCCTGGATGGGAGCAGGGACATGAGGCTGGCTAGAAACCTTGAGCAGTCAGGTGGGCAGGGCTGAGAATCTGGGATCAGGTCTAAGTGCCACAAACGTGCCATGTTTCAGCCTCTGGCTTGACATGGGGCTGCCCACGCCTGGCTGCTGCTGAGCGGTCTAGCCCAGTGATCTCTGTGTAGTTGAGCCAGGTCTGCTCTCCAGACGAACAGTGGCTCTGCAACCACAGTGTCTTGATCCAAAATACCGAACAGGGAATCATGTTCTTCCCACCCTGCCCCCGCCCTGCCCCACCAGATGGGACCCAATGCAGATCTCCAGCCTTAATTCTTGCTTCAGGACCCAGACCAGCGCCTCACCTAGGGCAGCCCAGGGCACAGGGGCCAGGTCTGCCCAGCGTTTACCACTGTTGTTAAGCCAGAGCCCTCAGGCCACCACACGGCCATCCTCAGTGAGGCGCCAGTGCCCTTCCTAAGCCCCTCAGGTTCCCTCAGCACTGGGAGGAGGGTGCTGGGCAACATGCCAGGTTCACTCCTGCCGGAGCGGAGCGAGCGCTGGGAGGGGAGGAGGGGCTTGTTCCCTGCCGCGTCTGTTCTGTGAAGTTTGTTAAATGTAAGGGAAGCTGAAATTCTTGTATCTTTAAAGAGGAAATCTTATTTAACCCTTTGTGTCCTAGATTGACTTACACATAGCCTAGAGCTCAGTTTTAGTTTAACATTGTGAAAATATTAAAAGAATCTTGTAACTTTATTCTTTTTTTTTTTTTCCTCCTGCTGAAAAAAAAAAAATTAAACCAATCGTACAGACACTTGGATTGTCTATTTTGGTGGTTCTGCCAGGAAAGGCCTGCAGAGCCTCCCTGCCCGCAGCCCTGCTCTACCTGGTACTTGGGGAAGGGCGACTGGCCCACAAGTGTCCAGGCCTGGCAGCTGCTGTCCTGCCTGGAGGCTCAGGACAGGCGTGGCGGGGGCAGGGTGTTTCTAGGGCCATCTCTCAGGGCCCCCGGTATGGGTCAGCTGGGCCCTGGGTCCTGCCACTTGGGTCTAGCACTGGTGAGGGCCAGTAGGATGAATGCTGCCCGCTCGCTGGAAGCCTGAGTGTGGTGGCTCTGGCAGGCAGGGTACACAACAGTTTTGGAAAGTTTTACATCAGGCAGAGGACGGGTCCCGACCCATCAGCCCACAGTTGCCAGAGGGTGATTGGAAAATGCCCAGGAGGGTCAGAGTGCTTGGCCAAGGGCAGGGAACAAGTCAGCAGGCAGCAACAAAGGCTGGTTTGGTGGCTGGGGCGTGGCCAAGCCAGGACAGAGGCTCTCTGATGGGCACAGGGAGAGGGGGAGCTATGAGGAGCCCCTCCCCCCAGCCCCCAGGCACAGTAGAGACCTAGGGAGAGTCTGCAGTGCCGGAAGGTGCTTTTCCTCTGCATCCCCTCACAGCTGCCTGCCGAGGGAGGCTCTGGGGAGGAGGAGCAGGCAGACAGAAGCCCTGGTCCTTCCAGTCCAGGGTTCTGGGGGAAGGTCTCAGATCCTGAAATACATGCGGAATATTATGTAGGACAGAACGGTTGCTAATTCCTCCCCGGACTGCCCCATGCAGTGACTCCGCTGTGGGCAGATGCTGGGTGCTCTGGTGAGATTTGGGGGCTCCTGCCCAGAGCCAGCGGCTCGTACTCAGCATTCAGAGAGCAAACACTTTGCAGAGAACTGCAGGAGGCGCAGCAGCCCTGCTTCGGCTCCAGATGCATCTGCAGCTAAGAAACCCCAGGATGAAGCCCGGCCGGGGGGGGGGGGGGGGGGGGGGGGGGGGGGGGGGCATCGGGCTCTCTGCTGCCTGCCAGCACTTACCCGCCTTCTTGGCCAAGCTGGTGTGACCAGGAGACAAAGGTCCCTCCTGGCCCACACTGGGGCCAGCCCCCACCTTCCTTTCCCTGTGCATTTGGGCACATACAACGGTTAGGTCCCAGTATGTGGCAAGCACCCATGGCAGGACATTTCAGTCACTGGCCTCGAAGCTCAGGCCTGTATGGGCAGGGCTGATACGCCGGCTCTTTGCAAAGGCTTGCCCACCAGTGTTAAACCATCCAGATGTGCAGATGAAACTGTAACAGTGACTTTGGTGTAGCCACCATCCCAGGATTTTGTGTGTGCGTGTGTTGCGTTGTAATGCTCCTGACACCTACATCTTCCAACAAGGCTCTGACCAAAACCAGAGGCATGACCGTGGGGCCCTGCAGGAAGCGCCTAGCCAGGCCTTGGAAAGCAGAGCCAAGAGCCAGGGTTCAGCAGAGTCCGTTTTTGTCAGGCCACCTGCTGCCCAGTGAGTGCCACACCACAGGCCCACTGGAAAGGGTGTTCAGGGACAAGGAGGCCCTCCCTCCCCCAACACACACAGCATTTTAACACATGGCTTAGCAGGGTGCCAGAGGCTCACAGGTTAGGTTCTGAACTGAGCCCAGCCGCAGCAGAAGTCAGGAGCATCATGGGAGGACAGGGCCGGGCAGACAGGACCCAGTAGCATTGCGCATGTGTGGAACCTACCATGCCCTGGCTGCTCTTCAGCTTTTTCTCCGTTTGGGTATTTGTCAGGTTTTAAAAACTAATTTGTGAGTTAGTTTCATTCCTCATAGTCACCTTTAAATTCACTTAATTTTATACTCAATTTATATATATAATTTTATATATAAAATTGTTTGTTTTCACTTCTTCTGGGGATTGAACCCATGTCTTTGAGCCCCCTTTACTGTTTCCCTGATGAGCCCCCAAGTTTCCTGAACCTCAGGTCCTGTGACAGCTGGGAAAGATCTCCTGGACCCAGGTGGTCTTGGTTCACAGTACCTCTCGAGGCGGGGCTGGGGTGGTTTTGCTGTGAAGGAAGAGAACCCCCTTAGCTAGCAGTTTTACCCCACACAGGAAGCAGCGAGATGACTCAAGCAGCTACACGGACTAGAACTGTTGTGGGTGGCTGGGAACGTCACGGAGATGTCCTGCTTTTGGAACACATCCCTTCTCTGCATGTTTTCTTGGGTCACATGGAGCCGCGCGCTGTGGATTGGAGCCAGCCTGCCTGGGGCCGGAGCTATACCTAGTAGCTGGCGTGGGGCATGTACCTGGGGTGCCAGCTGCTGGGGAGGGCACGGAGGCAGGTGGCTTGCTCGGGTAACACAACAGAAGTACGGGGCGGGGGGGGAGGAAGATGGGGGAGAAAGAGTCTAGGTTGTACCCCGCTGCCTTATCGACCTAGACACGGACACGAAGTTGGTGCCTTCAACATGCCAGGAGGTGGTAACAATTACTTTCTAAAGAGGAAGTAAGGTGCAGGGCTGTGGGCTGGCTAGAAGCCTGTAGAATGTAAAGAGTGTCCACACAGAAATAGAAAGGTAATGTCTCCCCCATCAGCCGCCACAGGCGGCACCGACACCCACACAGGAAGAGTGGGTTAGTGTGGGTATGTGGAGTTGGGACCGGAGCCTGGCCTCCTGCATGCTGGGCAAGGGCTCTCTGACTGAGCCGCAGCTGGCCCTTCCAGATTGTCCCTTTTAACACTGAAATGCATGTTCTGAGAATGTCAGGTCTGGGCCCTGGAGCCAGCATGCTGGGCAGACTGGCTCAGACAGCGGGTCCCTCTGGATGTGTGCCAGACGGCTGGGGAGAGAGCTCTGTCCCCACCTCCAGGTTAACACAGCAGCAGCGTAGCTGAGACAAGATGTCCTGCTCAGCCCTGACCACGCGCTGCCCCCGGAGAAAGGATGGTCTCCAGTGGACAGAAACGCAGCTGTCCACACACACGGACCAAGACTTTTACCCCTCTCTTCAGTGAGGAACTGAAATGAGAACAACACTGGCAGATTTCATAATTGTGGCCAACAGAAGCAGAAGCTGACAGGTGGGCGCGTGCAGGAAAGGACAGCCCCGGATGGGAGCTGCAGAGCGGGCAGACTGGCCCGGGGAAAGACAGGGGCCGGGCTCACAGGGAGTGCTGTTTGCCCCAGCGCACCCACAGTCAGAACAACAGCACACGTCCCTTAGATACAAACCGCGTGATGGTTTTTTTTGTGTTTTAAATGAGTTGTTTTTTTAAACGAGCTGACTGACTACCTGGTTTTCACAAGATGTAGTGGGTGAGAAAACTTTGCCCACCTGTTGGACGGCTGCTTCAGCAGGAGAGTGGAGCCTGGAGCACTGTTCGCAACAGCCCAGACACCAACCGCTGTCCGTCTGTAGATGCCTGCCTGCCATCTATAGATGGACTGTGAGTATGTTTACATGATGGCGTGCTAGCCGTCCCTGAAAAAGGCTGAAATCCCATCTCTGCGGTGACAGGGATGAACCCGGGAGACATAACGTTAAGTGAAGTAAGCCAGGCACAGAGGTGAATACCGCATGACCTCATGGAGCTTCGTCTCGTGGATTTGCGAGTGAGGTGTCATGGAGGGCCAGGGGCAGGCTGGTTGGTGGATGTAAGTCAGTCCCCTCACACTACGCTTTTGTCTTCTGTCTTGCTCTTTTTCATTGTAGGTCTACATGAGTAATTTCCAATAACCAACCATGTGACACAGTACTAGGCTGTCATGAATCTCCTCTTCCGATGACATTAGTCCAAAATTCCTTGATGTAGCCTCAAGCAGATTTTTAGGACAAGGGCATCGGGCACCTGCATTCTGTCAAAGTATCATGAGAGCCTCTAACATTGCTAACATTGTCCCCTCCACTGGGCCTCAGCCGCCCACCTGGCTCTCAGCATCACTGTCTTCCACGCTGCTACTGGGATGTCCTGTTCAGCCCCACTTAACAGCACTCAACTGCTTTTCTGATCCATAGTCCAAAAAAGCATGGTCAGGTCTGCCAGGGCAGTACCCTAAAACCTGGTACTAGATTCTGTCACAGTTACTGTTCTGTGCTGTGAAGAGACACCATGACTGAGGCAACATGAAAACACCTACCTGGGGCCTTGCTTACAGCCTCAGAGGTCCATGTCCACCAGGGAACGGAAGCATGGAGCTGGAGCGTAGCCGAGCTCAGTCTGTCGGTAGGAGGCAGGGAGGGTGAGCCGGTTCCAGCAAGGGCTGTAAAACCTCAAATCCCCAGGGCCGCACCTTTAGCAAGGCCACACTCCTAATCCTCAAACAGTCCACCAACTGCAATCAAACGTTCAAATGTAGGAGCCTGTGGGGGAGCCAAGTCATTGAGACCACCACAGGTGAGTTCTGTGTCCCAGTACGGGGTGCACAGTCATCAGCCAAAGGCCCCATTTCAAACCCAGCATTTCAACATCCCCGTAGCAAGTGACGCTTAAGATGACGGGTGATGTCCTGGCTCCAGCTGCCCTGGTGCAGGGCTCTGCTTGGGCACCTCTCTTCCCTGGGCATCCCCAGCCTGGCCTGCGGGGGGTGGGTTCTCCCCAGCTCTGGTGAGATCATAGTCAGTGGGGACTCAGGACACCGACTCACCAGAACCTTGACCACGGTGATCATTTCCTGCAGAATGGAGCCCCCCATCTGGTATGGGGGCGGCTAGCAGCCTCATCCAGCCTCGGGGACCCTGAGGAAGTGAGACTTTTATCCCCTCGGTGGGAACCGGACCACCGTGTGACGTTCCTGTGGTTCTCCTTACGTACCTGCTGGTGCCCTCAAGCCTGGCGCTTGCAGGGGTTTCCTGGTCTGCCTTCCCTAAGGTGTAACGAAGCCTGATGCAGGGTACAACCTCCATGAACTCAGCCTCAGAGTGGCCCCTTCCTGTCCCGGACAGTGCCCTG